AAGTACAAGGTATTTTGTGCTGCAAAATTCTGAACTAAGTTGGGAGTGCTTTGGTAGAAAGTAAAAACTATAGAAAATGAAATAAAAATATAATGCGATAGCAAAGTAATATTGAATTTTACAGAGTTTTAAAGTGTTCGTAGTATTGTAAAAGATAGTTCAATAAATTATTATGTTTTCGGCTTACTCACATAATAATTTGACGAGGAACTCGACTAGTTTCAAGCTATGCTAGAGGCTCATATGCATGAGCAGTATTTCGCGACCCGCGACGCGGCGACTGTCGCGCTGCTAGTGGTTCAATAACTTTGTCATGCAACTATCTCGATTAAAATCATACATAGACGACCGAAATGTATTTTTAACAGTTAACCATTGATTATTTTAATACTTAAGAAATGTTTTGGGTGCTTAATCCCACAACCCGTTTTAGTAAGTTAAAAAAAAATATGTTTGATCCTATCTGATGTAACTTTGTGTTTCCATTTCACGGTGTTTATAAGTAAAAAAGATCTACTTTCATTTAAAAGTAAAAACAACAAACAAGGTTTAATTTACCTTAGACCCCATTAAGGGGTAACCCGGGGTTATATTTCAATATTCTTTCTTCAAGTGAAAAATAATTAAGCCTGCTTTGTGTCATCAATAGCTTATTTGTTTCTCTTAATTAGTAAGACAGATGAAGCTCTTTATACAGGAGATACGGTTTCTTAAATCCAGACCCCTTCCTTTTTCCCTTTTCTCTAAGGGGTTAGATAGAAGTAGGTACCTACTATATTTAGATCCCACACTTTTCCACAAAAAGAAAACTCGGTTTTAGTAAAATTACAATTTTAAAATTGAAATGTTAGAGAATAAGCATAATTCTTTTTTAACCTAGGGATCGATCAGTATCTAGCAACTATAACATTTTTTCAACATTCGGACACAATCAATCTATTTTTTACATTTCACAGTCCGAGTCACCTGAACGAAAACTCCACGCGGTCATTAAACCAATTAAACGAGTTTATTTTCACCTTAAATAGACTCACATTTATAAAAAAGACCAACTAAAATTATAATCTCACCCCATTAAAGACGTGAGACAACGGTCTGTCGCCCAAACCGGCCATAATTCAAGCTGAGGAAAATAATTTACGACGTCTAATCCCAAACAACCGGAATAAATACCAGCCAGGATACGGACATTATACTCCTTTATACTCCTTTATATGAGCTGTTAAGTTTTTTAAATAAACTGAAACAATTGAGATGTATTACTGCTGACATCTGTCGACAGAAATAGTGAGTTTGAAGATATAAATTGTTCGGAGATTATGGGAGATTATAAATCGTGTCGGTTATAATGCTAGCTCAATCATTGTCGGAAAAGAATTTTAATTTTAATTGAACGACTTTTAGTTGCGTCTTTTTGATTTTTGGTTTAACATCTAACCTCAGATTTAGTTGTTGTTTTTGGACATGAAGAACGTCGTTTGCTCTTGATATTACATTTTACATGATCCCTTAAAAATTGTCCTTTTTGTCATAAGCATGAAATGTCTCCTGTGTCTTCCTCCAAACTTTTAGTTGAAAGGTGAGTGCACTAATATAGTTGTCCCTATATGATTTAACTATATAACTTTTCGAACCATACGTAATTAATCGTTTGAAGTAAAAATAATACATTTTAAACATATTATGAAAACAATAAAATCCGGAAGCAATTTGTGGTTTTGGCAACCATCCGAATTGGGGAAATATTGCAAACATAATGATATCCGTTTTAACATTACACAGTTTCATATAGAGTACAAACTGTATTTTTTAGTTTCAATTAGTTGGAACATGAACTGTTTTCACACATACATAATTATAATATATTGGGTGGGCTTCAAACAGCTGGTCTATGTAATGAATATTTGCCAAACTGACACACACATTACTGTAATTTTGAATGATCTCATCTTTAATAACCATCGAGAAATACCATATGGCAATATGGCTAATTTTTAAGAAGAAGCAAATTGGTTTAGTTATTGAATTGAAAAACAAAATAATATCAATATTTGCTTAGTTGAAGATAATTTATGACTAGAAATTTGGTCTAACAATAAATTATCTATTTTTTCTTTAAAATTAGCAGTATTGGCTGTAGACGGCAGGATTGCTAATATTGTTTTATCTATTGCACAGCCAAACGATAATATTATTACTGTTATTTATTTAGTAGTAAAAAACAACTTATACGGACGGCGAGCACGGGTTACTCGCCGACTGACCTGAATCAGACCAGTGCGTTTCGCGCAGGTCTTGAAGAGCTATCAGACCATCACAGATGGGTCCAATAGGATTGATGCCTATACGGAACCGCGGAGGACTTAACGGGTTGGCGGGGCTCCGACTGGAAGTGGAGGAGTAGGAGCGGGGTAGTTTTTAGTCAGTAAGAGTCTGACACTCCTTCTAGCCTGTAGTCCTCCTCTCCGAAGTTATTGGATGATTTTCCTCTCATAAAAAACTTATATTGTTGGAAACCTTTCTCTTTATTTCCCACTAGCAGCCCGTCCCGGCTTCGCACGGGGTAGACAATTATTTATTTTTGGAAATTTGGATTGTTGTAGTGACATAACTACAATAGCTGGACATATGCTACCGCGGAGGTTTTTGTAGACATTGTGATGTTTTTCAATATTGTTGCACATTATTTTGTTCTACCGCTAATAGTTTCGGCAGCGCATTCATTTTAAGACTCATTTTTCTACACCTTCGGTTACATTGTTCAAATTTTACCAAGGATCCCTAATTTTTTTCAAAATGAAATGTAACCTATGGCAAATTGGAAGAATATAGCATTCTATTGGTGGAAGAATTTTTTAAATCGGCCCAGTACTTTTTGAGCCTATTCATTACAAACATACAAAAATAGGTACAATCTTTCCTCTTTATAATATTATAGTATAAGTATATACTTAGTATAGAAAAGTACAACATTTTAAAGAAAACTCCTTTTCTTTTCCTAACATTTTCCAACGTAGCTAATAGTACTCCTTTCTCAAGAAGTAAACACAAAGTACCCTCAAATGACGCTTCGGGGGCTTAGTTTAATAATGCATACCAGCTTTACATACAGGGTGGTGCGTGTTGCACAAACTCATACTTTATTAACGTGCACAAGATACAGTGTGTTGCAGACACTTATCTAATTGTGTTCTTAAGATTAATGTCCGGGTTATACGGCTGAGTGTATATTTTCTTGTACGGCTGCTTGGGACAACCAGACTGGAAGTAAACATTGACTTTGTATTAGGTTTCGTTAGTGTTCGTTTTATATTCTGAGTGGAGAAATTGAATCTTTGACTAGATCTGTGTTTGCTTCTACTTCTGATAGCAGCATAACACTACTCAGAAAGTTATGACAATCTATAATAATCTGATTAATGTTTCATATTAAATAATATACGTACAGTTCAATAAAAATCACGATTCAAAAGTAAATCAGTTACATACACAAAAATGTGTTTTTTTGTTTTGTTTTAGATACTACTTTTGTACAAAAATATCAGTTAGGCTTCTGAAAACATAGTACAGTGAAACCTGGTTAAGTGAGACATCAAGGGACCTGCAATATCGTTTCACTTATAGAGGTATTCCACTTACCCAGTGTCTCAGATATACAGGTATAAATAAATATCTGTCTCATTTACAGAGGGTTCCATTAATAGAGGTGGACATGGAATACCGTGTGGAATTTGTGGGTAGAATAAGAATCAGTAAACAAACAATGTTATGTCAGTTACAGAGGTTTATGCATATAAAATTTACTCACTGTCTTAGTTATAGAGGTAACTATGATGATAAATCGAAAGAACAAATCCCAGATATAGAGGTTTACCTCGTCCCACTAACAGAGGTAATTCAGTGCCAAAGTGTTGGGACCTCAGCATGAGTTCCAGTTATGGAGGTTTCTCACTTATCCAGGTCCCACTTAACCAAGTTTCACTGTATTACAACCAATTCAATTAATTAACATCAATATACCATAATCGACAATCGACTCCCTATCCGATAAATAACCCCGTACGCTAGTCAATTTAGAACAAGTCAATTCCTTCACAATGACAGTGACATATGAGTGTATGCGTGATCCGTCCCAGCGTTTAGAATATTTACGATCGTCCCGACTGATATATGAAGCACAACTTCCGCTGAATCTTACAGGGTAAATAGTTGGTTATTTTTTATACGAAATAAGTCCATAGTTTGTAAATTGAGAGTTATTTGTGACAAGGTTCCACCGGAATAGAGTACTTCATGCGATGTATAATGTTGACGTGGAAAAATGATAGAACAACGACGTGGAAGTAGTGTTTTATGTCATTTTTGTCGGTGATGTAAGGGTTCCATTTATTCATTAGAATTTCCCTGTAACTATGAAAACACTAACAAATATATTTCATGTGAAATCACGTTATGATATTATCAACCCCTTATTCTGTTTTTTCATAAAATCAAACAGGTATGTATATAGGTACTATCTACGTCCAATGCATGCCATTTTATTCAAACAGACGTTCTTACGGAAATCATACAGAGATAGGTATCGGGCAGAATTTTAAGCACTGCATTTGAACAATTTAAGAACATTGTAACTAACATGAGTATCAAATAGACATTTATAAATTAATGACGTCATCATCAACTAAAGAGACTTTTTTTTAAGGGTGGAAAATCATCGAATGACTGCTCCCGCCTGGGTGAAGCGGGAGGGAGTGTCAGACTCTTACTGACTAAAAACCACCCCGTTCCTTCTCCTGCACGTCGAGCCGGAGCCCCGGTTACCCGTTAGGTTCTCCGCGATAACTAAAGAGGCTATACTAAATAAAAAAGCCAGTCAATCTGTAATAGGAATAAAACGCCTCCCTCCATACAATGCATTTCTTAAAAAATAAAACTGAAAGTTCTCAAAATGTTAGCAATTCGTTGAAATGTTTATCCGAATTGGTTCTAACTGTCTATATCTAATGCCCGAGGGCATGTTTCTCAGTGTCCGGGGAGGTTCCCGGACACTGCAATACAACGAGTAATCCATTTATGAAACATTTCGAACATGTACACAAACACATACGTGTAGACAACAATATGTATTTGGAAATTCAATTACTTATTGCTGAAATCGATTAGTTTGTTTTGGTATTGGTGACATGTTCAAACTAAGTGTATGATATATTTTTTTTTATTTATCTTCATTGGCCCACCAACAATTGTATACATTAGTACATTAACTCGTCGAGTACCGGTTTTATAGACACAATTAAAGAACAATAGGTCGCGGTCACCGGTGACCGCTTGGTGTTTGACAGTTTAAACAACAAACATTTAAATAATAAACAGTAAAATGTTACATTCGATTACAGGCGAGCACCGCATCTTTTAAGAAAAAAAATATATCAATTAATGGATGCAAAAGTAGAATATAAGGTGTCGGTTAAAAAATCAAAGTAAGTTGCATTAATTTTCATTAATAAATTAGCAATAGATTAATTAGAAGAAAAGAAAACGCTGCAATAGAATATAAAACTAAAATTAAATTAAATTAACTTCAAAAATCAAAATCATAATTATTTAAAGATAATGAAACAATATGTGTATCTATGCGTATTCGATTACTAAGTAAAATAAATGAAAAATAAACACTACATACGTTACTATGAATTTTCATTTCAATAATCCTATTTTTCCTCCCTTTGTAATGATATACTCCCTTCAGTCAATACATAATTTTGTTGACAACCAAGAAGGTTCTATCTACCGTACATTTGCAGGGTCCGTCTGCTTTGCTAGTTACAAATTATGCCGCCCTCACTCAATCGAGAAATGGCCTCTTTGGGGACTATGGGGACCCAAGATATGCCCGGATGCAGCCCTGACAATGCCACAGATGAATGAATACCTAGTATTGGCAGGAGTTCAATAGAATTTGAAAATAGAGTGAGTGTAATTTGATGTTTAATATTTTATGTAGTAAGTTACGAAGGAATAAAGATGAAATGAGATGAGATGAAGAAATGAGATTTAAACTTTTTTTTTTAAACATATTAATAGGCCCTGTATAAAAAATAGATGTAATAGATAGAGTATATGTAAAAGATTCTAAAAATGCATGTAGATAGATAATACTAACATCTGCACTGAACTACTTCTGATGATCGGATGAGGTACTTAATCGTATAATTACAAATTTTGGTTCACTTGAACAAAATTAATCGGTTTTAAAACGTATTTCGGAATCTAGTATCTACATTATCTTGTGTAATCTACAAATAAATGACATGTATCAACCGCTAACCAACGGGTAAATAAAAATAACCAGTTTGGACGGCAATCTATCGCCACGTCTATTAGTTCATCAGTCTACGAGTATCAGTAATTAGGTTATAGTCCCCGAGCGTGAGCCGACTCCGAACGAGCACTACCCCGCGGCCACACTTTGATTTCACTACAAATTCTACAATTTTAACAACAACCCTTATTTTATAAGCAATAAAGTTCAATTTCATACAACTTGCTGACGTAGCTTTTCGTTATGCGTATTGTTGAAACATTTACGAAATTCAGTCACCAGCAGATCAGACTTACTGTCAAATTTTCATTGTGTTTTCAACTTTCTGTCTAAAGAATAAAGTTAAAAATCCAATAAAGAAAGGTAGGAAGGAGTAGGTTTAACGGCTGGTGATTGTACTTGCAGTTTAAAATGTTTATTTGTTTTAGCTGTTGACGTGAAGGTTTCATTTAAACTGTCAAACACCGCGAGGACACCGGTGACCGCAACCTATTGTTCTTTAATTGTGTCTATAAATACGGTACTCAAAGAGTTAAATGAAAGGTTTCATAACAGTATTGACTGTACCAGTAAAATCTGTTGGGAAATGCGTTCCATTAGAGAAAGAAAATGCAGTGGTAATTGTGATACTACTTGGTGAATTATGAATTACATTATGTCTGGGAAGACAAAACTAACTTGTTTAAATTCAAATAAAACAATCGTACACGACTCTCGAACAAGAAACATCTAGATGCTCCACGTAAAAATTGCTATAAAATAGTACATTTTTGAGCTAATATTGTGTGATCGTTAGAAAGTAAAACTTTAACAGCAAACACATCAGTGACCGTGTGGATAAACCTGTAACGGAACAAGAGCAGGAATAAAGAACCAGCATCCTGGTATTCAGCAAAATAACTCAAAAAGTCAGTGTAATCACCTCGTTCCGACGGAACTGAACATTGGTCAATCCCATTTGTTGTAATACAGCTACTTGCATTACAATTAGCAGGAGGTTAATTAGGAGATGGTCAGTTCCGTAAATAATAATTAATAACAAGACCCAAATAACAAATAAATAAATAGAAAAGTACTACCTATATACTGCCAATACTACAAACACGGTTAAACAACATCGAAGGAGATGAAAGATAAGTGTTACACTAAATAATAAGCATTAAACCTTAAAACTCCATTCACAAATCCCAGAATTATCAAACAACCAACCTTTCAAGAATTCAAACCTTATAAAATTAAGTGATGAAACCATTTTCAGGAGTGACATAGGAGAGTTTACTCGTTTACATGGAGAGTACTTGCGGGAAGATGGCGTCCTAGCCGAGACGAGTGTTTGTGCTTGCTCCTCTCTCCCCTACCACTCATTAGTGGGTAATACTGAGTTGTAGAGGGACACATCTTAAATATCTGATAGTGTTCAGCTGTAAAAAAGTAATAAGTAATGTGACGTAACCTCATTTTTTTTAATAGTCATAGCGTTGCTTGGAGATGTTTATTCTATAATAGGTCATCGCATACCTAATAGGTAAGCACGGCTTCGGCACGCCTCCGGCACGACTCCGGCATAGCGTATTTTGCTTTGGAAACAAAACAAAAAAGTAATAAGCATGTTGTCGGCGCGGTTACAGCTTTTGTATATTTATGTTATAAAATAACAACACATACAACATAATTACGTTTTAAAAACAATATGTAAATGACACTGACATTGCTGGGTTGGAGCCGTACCGGAGCCGAACTTGTTAGGTGTGCGTTGACGTTACTCTCGTTATGTTCTTAATTTTTAAATATGGAAGAGAACAAGTTATTCGCTTTCAGCTGGTACAATTTTATATTAATTCTCTATTGTAATAAGATCAAGTATAAGTCTGCAATTTTATTTTACCTATACGAAAGTATAAGTACCCAGAATCAGGGACCAAACCTAAAATCAGGGAAGTTACAATCATCTCTACATCTATTCTTAGATACTCGATCTTGTTATGTTCTTCTATGAATTTCTCATCTCCTTGAAATTTAAAATGGAAACTTAGGGTCGATTTTACAATCATCAATTCATTCTTAACTGTAGAATAAATTGACAATTGACAGTGTTTAGTATGAAAGTATTGTCAAATATTCAAAGTTATTCCTCAGTTAAAATTTATCTTAGACTTAAGACTTAGACGAATTCCCATCAAATCAACTCGCAATTTGACGTCACAACACAACCCATAACATTGCATCACGTAGCGATACGAAACGTCACTCATAATGAACCTGCATCGCATATCACACGTCCATGAGTCCATACCCATTGCAACATATACTCACACACTTTAGACCTAAGTTTAGGCCACGTTCCTAGGTAATACACGTTTAGTTATTCATCCCATGTACTGTTGATAATCAGGGAGCTGATTCTCACAGGTCGACAGCTCGATACTTCGCCAACGAATGCGATTTGACTTGCGATCACACATTAAATTACAAATGGAACCACGCATGCGTCCTCACACCTACTTGTCTACTTAGGTACTTAGGAATCGTTACACTTCTGTCATTATTAGTGGTACAGGGTGGGAATAATACAGTAGGTACAGTGGGTGTTCTAGGGATGTGTTGTAACAGGCGTTGCACCGTGGAGGCTCCGGAGCAGGTCTCTTTTAGAGGTCTCTTTAACGGTGCCTTCATACAGGTGTTGAGTGTGGCCACCGAGGTGGTTTTAGTGAGGTAAAAATCCCACACTCCCTAGTCTTTTATCCCCAAAAAGCTAGGCGCCTTTTGAAGGTTTCGCCCCGTCATCAAAAACTAAAAATAAATGACTTTATACTTGAATAAGTTAAAGTGATTTTTTGTTGTATTCGTCATTCTATTTTTCATAATACGCTTTTTAATTTATTTTTATTTTAAGTGATATTATATTTATTTGACTCATATTTAGTAGGTAGGTCCTATCGAAACTGCACACTTGCAAAATAGTGATTTTTGAATAAATATACAGCTCAATATAATACAGCTAAAATAGCTCAATATAACACTTACAGTTGACAATGATTTACCAAAGTCGTTCATCAACGTCATAATATGACGTCTACCTATTGTTTGTTAATTTGCGTTTGCAATTCTTACATATGGAGCTTCCTAGCGGCTTTTGACGCTATCTTCAAAGTTATGAAACTGTGCCAGACCATTTAGCTCTTTCAGTCCCGCTACAATGCAACTGATAATAATATGTGGGTTAAGGATAGTAGAATTTTTGTTTGCCGTTTGTGGAATAGTTTTTAACTGGTTGTGGTTGTATTGGGAGAGTACATCGTTTGAACAAAACTATATTGTTTGTGTAATAAAACGTGTTCTTATGCTAATGATAGTAATTATCAACCAATTAATAGTAAATCCAAATACCAAAATACAGTTTAGTGTAAATATAATGTAGGCAAATAAAAACATAACAGACATGTTATCAAATAACCCAAGCCATAAAACACCTCTCCCCTGACAGCCGCTATAAAGGGACGATCGAAAAATGTCGCTAATGATAGCATCTATCGCCGCACATCATCAAACATAAACAATAACGGTCAAACACTGGACAATGCAAACGACACAGTAATTGCCCGTACATAATACAAACTATAGCTATTACAAAAGTTAGCCCCGAGCGCACACCGCCACTCCGTTCGTTATTTTCGCTAAATGGGCCCATTTGAAAATTAACTGCACGATTGCTTCCGAATAATGCGCCAGTGTGGAGCGATATATCTCACGACAAGTGCTGCTAAACAAATGAAGGGATGTACACAGCAACTTAAGTGCAGCGCCATCTTGCGGGCAGTAGCTGAACTACGACGGCAACTGGTAGACGTGAATGAGACTAAAACTTTTTAATCATGTTTTAGATACAAATGTATGCAAATGATACATACAAATGATACAAATACGGAATAAAAAATATTTTATACAGTTTTGTACACAAAAGCGAATTCCAAAATAAACAAAAAGAAGATGTTAAAACTATCAAAACACGATGTTAAGTATGTGGTAGTTGTGCCACTCGATAACAGATGGCGTTGTAAGTCATAGTGTAGAAGGACAAAACTATATTTATATATATCGTTTTCATACATATTACCGCCACGTGAACAAGATTTATAATTTTAAAATCATGCAGACAACAAACAAATTGAATAAATGACTTCTTCCAAGAAATTCAAAATATAAGTTTTTAGAAATTATTTTATTAATTCTCGTACATACAAAATGTTAATCTCAAACATAAAACCTTAGCTATTGCAATTCGCGGGACCGTAAACATGAAAACAACAGAGCTAAACGACGGGCGGGCAACTCGAAAAAAATCGTGCAACAGACTGTAGCATGTTGTTGAAAAATGTTGCCATGAAATATGACCTTTTTCGAACGGAGTAAAATAAACTCTTTCTGTGATCTTTGCCATAAGAGAAATTCATGCACATTATTAAAGTTCGGTACATTATTTGAATTAAATTTAGATTTAGGGTATTTAACAACAACAAAATATAATGGGGATGATGACAGGGTATGAAAATTAAAAATATAATTAGTCCGTAAGTTAGGTAATGAAAAAATATTAGACACGTATTTTTTTATTTTGTCGTATAATAAAACAATACTTAGATAAAACGAATCAAAGTTTAGGAGTGGGGGCTAAAACGTCATTTCTTAGTATAAAATGTACTGAGAAGTGACGTCACGCGACATTTCAAATCAATATATTTTCGAAACTATTCGTTTCTGTGAGAAAATAAAAAATACGTGTCTAATGTTTTTAAATAATCTACCAGACGGACATTAAAATAAAAATTAGTCGTCTAAGTATAAGCTTATATTTTACAGAAAGTCGGATAATTCAATCTATCTACATGATCCCTGATGAGAGTGTAAATAAATTACAATTAAAACTCACCTGAATCTGCTCAGCGGCTTTTTTTGCCAGCTCTGGATCCAAGATAGTGATGTCAAAGTCATTAGCACATTTCTTCGCCGTCTCACTGAACGCCGCAGCGTTCACGTAGTACGCCGATCCCTTTTCACTCGTTTCTACCGGAGAATTCGGAGACAATATACCACTGTCTGTGTCACTAACATTCGCCGACTTACGGACTACACCGGAATTTTCACCGCCTGGAGACTTCAGAGGGATGCGGGATTTGTCACCAGTTGGCGACTTCAAAGGAATTCGTGATTGCCTCGAACCGTCCGTCGCGAATCCGGTGTTCGGATCGAAAATAACATAGTTGTCTTTGTCGCACCTCACTTTATTATTCACAGTCACTGTGTATTTTTTATTAGGACTAAGGTTTAAAAAGGGATCTTCGGTATCAATAGGACTCTCGGGTATAATGGACTGTATCTTAGGTGATATCTTTGGAACGGATTTACCGTCAATAGTTCGCCTTATCACAGTGTCGTTAGTGAACTTTAAGCGCACATACTCGTTGGATATTGTTCGTCTCACTGGCGAAGAGAGTAATGGCGATGGTTTACCTTCTTGCAAGTTAGTTTTGTTTTGAAAGAAATTTATCTTTGGTTTATCCATTGTTCTGACTGGAGTAAATGGTAACTTTAGTTTAGTTGTCACTTTTTTCTTTTGGCTAGAATTTAAATCTATACTTCCTTTTACAGTACTTTTATACACTGGTAACACACTCGCTTTTTCTTGCGGTTTTGATGGTTTCTTTAACTAATTTTGAGCTATTTTTACCTAAGTCGAAAGTTTTATTTAGTTTCTTTATTGGTGCGGGAGTTTTAAGACGTCTGTCTTTGACCTTTTTGTCGGCGGGAACCTCGGTAGGAGCAATATCATGTTTCTCGTTAATAGACAAAGTCTCTTGTTTGATAAAAGTTTTGCTACGATCACGTAGGAGTGAATCATTTTGCGCCGCATCAAATAAGTTCTCGCTGGGATTCCCAAAGATGCTATCTATTATAATGTCTACGTCGCTAGACTCTGAATTGCTTTTAGAAGATCTGTTCTCATTTATTATGCAGGATATTCTTTCTTCCACATCAGTAAGTGAATCTGATTTGTCGTCTATACTCCGTGAGGTTCCACTGCCGGAGTCTGAAGGCGTTTGTACTTCAAATATAGCTTCTTGTTGTGATGTGGTTTGTTTTCTTGAATTTTCAGGACAAGAAGATCTTCTTCTTTTCACGGTACCTGTGTCCGAAGACGATAAATCCCAGTCGGACACTTGCACGGCACACTGTGCTCCACTATTTTTAGAACGTCTTGGGCTTGTCATTATAATAACATTGCATTTTTAAAAACACTATCTACTTTGTATATCACTTGTCATTAACTGTATCGGCCTGTAATTGTAATGTTGGAACATCGTTGTGTGTAATTGTCAGTAGAATTTATATTTGATAGTACGGCATACGAGCATTGCGATCGTTAGTGGAATCAAACACGAACGGGTATCGAGCTCGATTGTTATCTAATTACAAACTTGACGCTGGCGCACATGGGACCGCCGGTATCTATGTTATTTTCTCTAATGGAACCATTTGTTTTCTGTTCTGTCACACGGAAGGGGGTTAGTTTTAATAATAATGGCATTTATTTTGTATAACTAAGTTTGTTTTCAAATTAACTTTAAGTATTATTACTACACAACTAACTGAAGCAATGTTATGAAACATAGTTGAGATAACACAATGACCACAATTGTGGAAGATGAGGAACGAAAGAAACCTCGATTGAGCAAAAATCGTATAGTTTAGTTCAGTCTTAACTGTGGGGAAGTCGGTAAAATGCCTCAATTTAATCAGTAAGTTGTGCAGGTAGTGGTCGACATAAAGTTGTAACAGCACGTTTTATCTCTTAGACATGAACGTTCATGTGTAGGTGTGTGGCGCTGGCGGGCGAAGCCGGTGGCGGAAGGTAGTTTTTATGTTCCGTCCGGACCCGACTCGCCCCGGCTGCCGGCTGTACGTGCGCCATGGGAGAAAGTTACGTGGTCTTCTATTATGCAGGCTTGTTGAAATTCAACATTTTTGTTATATTCTGTCCCTAGAGCTGGGGCTTTGTTGTTTGTTTTGTCATTTAGTCGGTGGCGCTTTTCAATATTTAGATACTTTTTGAAGAATGTTTATAAAAAAGTAACATCACGTATTTTATTCTCTGAAAGTATAGATGAAGTATTATGAATTGTATCAATGAAAAGTCTTGTATAAAATAAAAAAATCGACGTCCATTTAAAGATAAGACAAATTTATTGAACCTCGTTCCTAAGCCAACTAAAATACACAAAAGACAAAAAAAGGAAAACTTGTAACAAACTATATTTAGTGACGCATCTGTGCAGAGTGGCAGAACTACTTACTTACAATGAAATGAAACGCAATGAACTTACGGAGTTGGTGGGATTCTGACAAATTGCCCCCAAGTGTCCTCACACTAACCTAATTATCCGATAAGTTAAAGCAATAAATAACGAAGGGCGAGCTCTACTTGCACGGGAACTACAATAGTTGTATGTAAGTTAGGACGGTACTCGGTACGCAAGCCGTAACCGTCTCCGAACATAGTTGGGGCTTTACACTTAGTCTTGCAGTTTATTATAGAACCAACACTAGTGTGTAGAGTGGGCTGTGTGATTATTATACTGGAGACTCCGTATGCAAAGTTATTTCAATAAAATTGCACTTTTATGCTAAATGTTAATAGTTTACATTGAAGGAAAAATGTCAATGATGTTGTATTCTTAGTGTAACTATAAACGCAGTAGTATAAATTATACGGAGCCGCGGAGGACTTCACAGGCAGGAGAAGGAACGGGGTGGATTTTAGTCAATAAGAGTCTGACACTCCCTTCCGCCTCGCTCAGGCGGGAGAAATTATTCCATGATTTTCCCCCCTTAAAATAAAAGCAGTATAAATTATACCAAAATATATAAAAGCCTTTCCTTTTGCATTGGGGGTTGCGAAACTATAATAAAACAGTAATACTATTAACTATGCGAGAATTAAACATGTCTTGTATTGCAAAAACATTTGAAAAGATTATTTTGAAACTAAAGACCCCCATTCTGTTATCCCCTCCTCTAAATCTCACCGCGACTAACGTACCTTCCACCATTATTATTACTTCAACAAACAAATAAATTTACAACAACTAAGTACGTAGTATCTTCACTTCATTGACCAGCAAAATGTTACGACCTCGGGCAAATACCTCACACAGTTTCGTGGTCACTACATTGTGGTCTTACACGACCACAATCTTCTTGATAACATTTACAGTTCCTTTGAGTACCTACGTACATACATATATATACACACTAGGTACTGTTGGTCTGTTACAAACAGAATCTGTGGTTGCATGGTCACCGCAACGTTTGGCCCGCATAGTGTCTAGTGTCTATTTGCTCAGAGGTCTGTTTACCTATGTTTGTTTAGGGTAAAATGAACATTTGTGCCTAAGCCTGGACTCCAGCTGGAATTATGTCAATAGAGATTATAGAAAAAGTAGTTGTTAAAAAATGAATCGTCATAATCAAAAAGATATAAAGATGTGTTTATGTTTAAACATCTATGTCATAAAATATGCATGCATGATATTTTATGACATTTTATAAACAATAGACTGGTGATTAATTGAACCCGCAACGGGTGATTAAAACTTTTCAAGAAATGCATCAGATAGTTGGAACATAAACTACATTAAATTATCGACAGTAGTAAATTAACTCTGGACATGTAATGTGCAATAGAGCAGACAGCACATCATCAATACGTAGGTAATTAATGCTATCAAATATAATGGTCTCGTTACTATAATCACGTCAACACGAAATGATGTATTGTATCATTATCTGGTTCATTTACACTTATAATCTATCTAGAATTTGTTAGCATATTATATATCTCATAAATTTAGAACTTCAAATTTCCACAATCAATCTGCCAAATTACTTTTGACATCAAATGAATCTAAACTATGGGTCTCAATTAATCTCACTATTGCTACAGATAATTAAGAATATATAAAACTTAAGGAGTACAATCTTAAAAACATCGGAATTCAGATCTCATACTCATCAGTGACTTACGACTCAATAAGGAATTCAACAAAACTACTCATTTATATAAAAACGGAAAACACTTAAACGAAACTCAATTTGCCACACACATGCTCTTTCATCATCAACACAATATATCTTCTCGGATTGTCTCCACTAACTCTATCGACCAGGGTCCGTACGTAAAGCCATAGAATTTATTGAAACAACACGATACATACCCTCTAGCCCTCTATAAATACAAAACTTTCTAATTTGTTAGTTCTGTGCAACCAGGGACGCTAATATTGTATCCCTGGATTCATTTCGGACTCGCAGCTAATTGATAATTTCGCAAGGGTGTTCAGAACATATTGGTTTATTGAGAAAATGCCATTGTGTTTGTACTAGTCTAGTCTAGAGTTAATGGCGAAGGTATTTCGGAATGTCGTGCGTGAAGAGGTTAGGGTTGCTTGTGTTAAGTAAATTGTTACTAATAAAATACTCGGTATTTTTTTTTAAATCCAAATTAAATAAGTCATTTTACTACTAAGGAAAATCTAAATACAAAACGATTAATTTAACTTTTTGTAGTATTTCTCAATTCAATGAAAATTGAATTAGGTACAAAAATATTTTAACGGCTGGGACAGCAAAGAGTTTAGAGAATCTGATGCTTAGATGTTCTAAGGCAAAGAGTCGTCAATACTTTTTAAAGTCAAATACACAGGCAACTTAAAATTTCAAAAAAAGAATATTCTAAATTCAAAGCAATAGATAACCTCTAAACACACTAATGTGCCATCATTATCGGCTCCCCTTTTCCATTGCATTCATAACTTTCCAAGGAACTGTTTATGGTGTTCATATTTTTGTTGCTAATTTGGTAGGTTGGCAGCCCTGGCGGCGGTGTAGTTGTTGTATTTACTCCTACTTGACTCTGTACGTGCCTTTTACTTGGAAGTTAAGTTTCTGCAGTTGCATGCCCTATGAACTCTGGAGTTTGTTGTCGAGACTATGTAGACGTGTGATTCGATTACGTGATGCAGCAAGTTCGTGCAGACTGTACCGTGTTTAGAGTAGCATGCGATCCTGATATCAGACCGTTTGCTGAGGTTGATCGGGAGATTAGATTTAAGTTATCGACTGAAAAAAATGTTTCCTAAACGTTTATATATGCTTCGTACTTAAGATATAATTTGTAGTCTCATGAAACTTACTTCGTAAATTGACCAGCCCACAATAAACCACCCTCGAAGTACCGCATACCGAAATAATTTAAATAAGTAGCAATATCTCTCAAACACCTGGGCGATACAAATTAGGTACATTTACAGAAAAGCTTACTGGGAATACAAAAACAGGGAAATTTAAGGAAAAACAGACCGTCTAATTTACGGGACCCATAAAACGAGGATAACGTATACTGTTTCAAATATTTCTTATCGTCGCGTTCCCATTCCCCCGTGAGCAAAAACAGGAACTTTAACTGCGAGACGGGGCCCGATCCCGTACGTCTTAAGTGATTTACAGGCGCACTGCGACCTGCCTCCGCACAGCCTTCAAGGGGAGACAAACCGGGTTACTAGACTTATCGCGATAATGTGTCTCTTGTCCCTTTTCTCTATACAAACACAGAGAAGGACAGGATATTTTAAATCTGCAATAGAAATTTGACGGTGAACGCCCCAACAATATCCGCCTAAATGGGTCAGGAAGGCGAAGTTTACGTCGCATTTCAGCATTAGGGAAACCGAAATGCAATAAAATCCAAGTCGTAGAGACGGAATTAGAAAATTATACGGAGGTTGGAGCCTCGACCTCCAAACGGCAGGGGATCATGAACTTTGAGGCTATGATTAGATGTATTAAATTATTTTCTCCAACTCTCCCGCGCTCCTTATATGGAGATTAAATTTCCCGGTGTGTGGATAACAACTCAGAAAGTTTTGCTTTGTAATTTATTTTATTGCTTCAGTGAATTCACTTCGTTTTCCTTTTTCCTCTTATACAATTTCTCATTTAACCTTATTCTCAATCATTTTGACCATTAGACATTATACAAAACATATACCTAGTAGTATACTACTCATAATGAGAGCAATCACACTAAAAATACATTTTCAACGCTTAGTAACATATTTATTTACCTACAACAAGAATCATTCCAAAAACTAAATCCCACAAACATTTAACACAAACAATTTAATTACTTAACTGAGCTAATCTAAACAGCGGT